TTCATCACCTCATGGACGCAGTGCCGGAAAGTCTCAAGCGACAACCTCCATGGGCCCTCCTGTATGCAGACGATGTAGTGTTGATAGCAGAAAACAGAAAAGAACTTGAAGAAGCACAGAGATGGAAGGACCATTTAGGGTCGTACGGCTCAAAGCTCAACACAAAGAAGACAGAAAATATGGAATTGGGAGGTCAAACTTCAGAAACCATATACTCGATGAGAAGCCAATCAAGAAAACGAGTACCTTCAAGTATCTAAGAAGTCGCATCTCTGGCGATGGAAAACTTTTAGATGAAATATCTGCGAGAAACAAGGAATCTTGGATAAAATGGAGAACCTTCACAGGAGTTTTATGCAACAAATGCCAGTGCAACTCAAATCCCAAATATACCATACTGTGCTTCTCCCACAGCGCTGTATGGCAGCGGATGTTAGCCCAGTACGCGAAATGAAGAACACAAGCTTAGTATCATGGAGACAAGAATGCTGCGGGAACATTGGGTATTACCGTGCTAGATCGTGTTTGTAATGATACAGTTCGAGCTAAGATGAAAGTTGCTCCCACCATCAAGAAGAAGTAGGAAAGACGATGCGATGGTACGGCATGTGGATAGCAGAGATGAAACCACATTACAAGGGTGGCAATTTTTCTGGAGGTCGCTGGAAGAAGGTCACGGAGAAGGCCAAAGACGAGGTGGATGGAAAAATCAAACCTGACCTGAAAGAGGTTAGGATAGGCGAACTCATGCTGAATCGAGAATACTGGAGACTGTTGTCTCATACAGACCCTGCCTAAACGGGAAAATGCGAAGATTAAAAAAAAACGCTGTTTTGGAAAACCTTCGTAACTTCTTCCAGATAGTTGTATCGCAAATATGGAAGACAGATTTAGAATTAGCAATTCAAAATGCATCTATCAGTATGTATTTCATCTATAATCACCACGTCGATTGAATCCTTGTCGGAACCTTATTTTAAAAATTGATTTCCTAACTTTTTGAGCAAATTTTTTGTTACATGTCTCAAGTGGTAGGCAATGTTACCATCATTCGTTAGCATTTCTCATTTCAGATTATTGATGGTCTTTCATATCTGCACAATTCGGCAAAAATCCTTCATGGAAATCTTACACCTGCATCGATTTTTGTCACAACCAGTAGGCTATGGAAAATTGGCGGATTCTCCTTTGCTGTTGCGGCTAAAGAACCTGTAGGTTATCTTAAATTTTTTATTTGTATAACAGTAATTAAACTATGGTTGTTAAGGATTGTTAC